GTGAGGTGGTTCAGTGAGTGGTGTGTTCAGGTGTCGGTGAGGTAGTTCAGTGAGTGGTGTGTTCAGGTGTCGGTGAGGTAGTTCAGTAGGTGGTGTGTTCAGGTGTCGGTGAGGTAGTTCAGTGAGTGGTGTGTTCAGGTGTCGGTGAGGTAGTTCAGTGAGTGGTGTGTTCAGGTGTCAGTGAGGTAGTTCAGTGAATGGTGTGTTCAGGTGTCGGTGAGGTAGTTCAGTGAGTGGTGTGTTCAGGTGTCGGTGAGGTAGTTCAGTAGGTGGTGTGTTCAGGCTACGGTGAGGTAGTTCAGTGAGTGGTGTGTTCAGGTGTCAGTGAGGTAGTTCAGTGAATGGTGTGTTCAGGTGTCGGTGAGGTAGTTCAGTGAGTGGTGTGTTCAGGTGTCAGTGAGGTAGTTCAGTGAATGGTGTGTTCAGGTGTCGGTGAGGTAGTTCAGTGAGTGGTGTGTTCAGGTGTCGGTGAGGTAGTTCAGTGAGTGGTGTGTTCAGGTGTCAGTGAGGTAGTTCAGTGAATGGTGTGTTCAGGTGTCGGTGAGGTAGTTCAGTGAGTGGTGTGTTCAGGTGTCGGTGAGGTAGTTCAGTGAGTGGTGTGTTCAGGTGTCAGTGAGGTGGTTCAGTGAGTGGTGTGTTCAGGTGTCGGTGAGGTAGTTCAGTGAGTGGTGTGTTCAGGTGTCGGTGGGGTAGTTCAGTGAGTGGTGTGTTCAGGTGTCAGTGAGGTAGTTCAGTAGGTGGTGTGTTCAGGCTACGGTGAGGTAGTTCAGTGAGTGGTGTGTTCAGGTGTCGGTGAGGTAGTTCAGTGAGTGGTGTGTTCAGGTGTCGGTGAGGTAGTTCAGTGAGTGGTGTGTTCACGTGTCGGTGAGGTAGTTCAGTGGGTGGTGTGTTCAGGTGTCAGTGAGGTATTTCAGTGGGTGGTGTGTTCAGGTGTCGGTGAGGTAGTTCAGTGATTGGTGTGTTCAGGTGTCGGTGAGGTAGTTCAGTGAGTGGTGTGTTCAGGTGTCAGTGAGGTAGTTCAGTGAGTGGTGTGTTCACGTGTCAGTGAGGTAGTTCAGTGAGTGGTGTGTTCACGTGTCAGTGAGGTAGTGCAGTGAGTGGTGTGTTCACGTGTCGGTGAGGTGGTTCAGTGAGTGGTGTGTTCAGGTGTCGGTGAGGTAGTTCAGTAGGTGGTGTGTTCAGGTGTCGGTGAGGTAGTTCAGTGAGTGGTGTGTTCACGTGTCAGTGAGGTGGTTCAGTGAGTGGTGTGTTCAGGTGTCGGTGAGGTAGTGCATTGAGTGGTGTGTTCAGGTGTCGGTGAGGTAGTTCAGTGAGTGGTGTGTTCAGGTGTCAGTGAGGTAGTTCAGTGAGTGGTGTGTTCACGTGTCAGTGAGGTAGTTCAGTGAGTGGTGTGTTCAGGTGTCAGTGAGGTGGTTCAGTGAGTGGTGTGTTCAAGTGTCGGTGAGGTAGTGCAGTGAGTGGTGTGTTCAGGTGTCGGTGAGGTAGTTCAGTGAGTGGTGTGTTCAGGTGTCGGTGAGGTAGTTCAGTGAGTGGTGTGTTCAGGTGTCGGTGAGGTAGTTCAGTGGGTGGTGTGTTCACGTGTCGGTGAGGTGGTTCAGTGAGTGGTGTGTTCACGTGTCGGTGAGGTAGTTCAGTAGGTGGTGTGTTCAGGTGTCGGTGAGGTAGTTCAGTGAGTGGTGTGTTCACGTGTCAGTGAGGTGGTTCAGTGAGTGGTGTGTTCAGGTGTCGGTGAGGTAGTTCAGTAAGTGGTGTGTTCAGGTGTCAGTGAGGTAGTTCAGTGAGTGGTGTGTTCACGTGTCAGTGAGGTGGTTCAGTGAGTGGTGTGTTCAGGTGTCGGTGAGGTAGTTCAGTGAGTGGTGTGTTCAGGTGTCGGTGAGGTAGTTCAGTAGGTGGTGTGTTCAGGTGTCGGTGAGGTAGTTCAGTGAGTGGTGTGTTCAGGTGTCGGTGAGGTAGTTCAGTGAGTGGTGTGTTCAGGTGTCGGTGAGATAGTTCAGTGAGTGGTGTGTTCAGGTGTCAGTGAGATAGTTCAGTGAGTGGTGTGTTCAATTGTCGGTGAGGTAGTTCAGTGGGTAGTGTGTTCAGGTGTCGGTGAGGTAGTTCAGTGAGTGGTGTGTTCAGGTGTCGGTGAGATAGTTCAGTAGGTGGTGTGTTCAGGTGTCAGTGAGGTAGTTCAGTGAGTGGTGTGTTCAGGTGTCGGTGAGGTAGTTCAGTGAGTGGTGTGTTCAGGTGTCAGTGAGATAGTTCAGTAGGTGGTGTGTTCAGGTGTCAGTGAGGTAGTTCAGTGAGTGGTGTGTTCAGGTGTCGGTGAGGTAGTTCAGTGAGTGGTGTGTTCAGGTGTCGGTGAGATAGTTCAGTGAGTGGTGTGTTCAGGTGTCAGTGAGATAGTTCAGTGAGTGGTGTGTTCAATTGTCGGTGAGGTAGTTCAGTGGGTAGTGTGTTCAGGTGTCGGTGAGGTAGTTCAGTGAGTGGTGTGTTCAGGTCTCGGTGAGGTAGTTCAGTGAGTGGTGTGTTCAATTGTCGGTGAGGTAGTTAAGTAGGTGGTGTGTTCAGTTGTCGATGAGATAGTTCAGTGAGTGGTGTGTTCACTTGTCGGTGAGGTAGTTCAGTGAGTGGTGTGTTCAGGTGTCGGTGAGGTAGTTCAGTGAGTGGTGTGTTCAGGTCTCGGTGAGGTAGTTCAGTGAGTGGTGTGTTCAGGTCTCGGTGAGGTAGTTCAGTGAGTGGTGTGTTCAATTGTCGGTGAGGTAGTTAAGTAGGTGGTGTGTTCAGTTGTCGATGAGATAGTTCAGTGAGTGGTGTGTTCACTTGTCGGTGAGGTAGTTCAGTGAGTGGTGTGTTCAGGTGTCGGTGAGGTAGTTCAGTGAGTGGTGTGTTCAGGTGTCGGTGAGGTAGTTTAGTGAGTGGTGTGTTCAGGCGTCGGTAAGGTAGTTCAGTAAGTGGTGTGTTCAGTTGTCACTTCAGCATTGAGATAGTTCCAGTATGTTCAGTCACTAAAGCTCTTAAGATATCCGTCGGTTTCTGCGCCCGCTTGTCAATATTTTACCACGCGACGAATACCTGTAATCCTCTGCAATAGCATACCCAATATTCTTGTCTTAAGTTCTACAATTGATTAAAGGGTGTTTTTCACACAGAAATCTTATGTGCTGAAGCTGTTGACAAGTTTCTATGGCGACAACATCTGGGCTTTTGTTAGAATTAACAATACAGGGAAACTGCCACGATGGTTGAAACTAGTGCGTATATATAGATAAACTGTGTTGACAATACGAGGCAGTTCCGGCAGCGAGACCCGAATGACTTGGCAAATAAATAACAAACAAAGCATGTCTTGTATAAGAAAAAAGGTTGATTTTTTGTTGTTTTCTATTCTTCTATTCTGATATTTCCGCTAATGCATGACCTTTATGAGAACTGCAGTTAGCTTGTCGCAGACACAAAAAGTGCATGTGTCTCTGTATTCGCTTGATGGCCCAGTCGTCTAAGGGGAGTGAGTGAGTGTGGTTTTACGGCGCTATTAGCAATATTGCAGCAATATCACGGCGGGGGACACCAGAAATGGGCTTCACACATTGTACCCATGTCTGGAATCGACCCCGGGTCTTCGGCGTAACGAGCGAACGCTTTAACCACTAGGCTACCCTACCGCCCCAGTCGTCTAAGGAGCCGAAAGTTGTAGAGATGCATTCTTTAGACGTGCCAAGGACCTATAATTGTTGCCTCGATTCACACAGTTGCCGTGATTATATTTCTAATTTTGTCAGCACCATACCCGTGTTTGTCGGTTTCACCAAAGTGGTAATCGTCTAATACAGTAAACTACGGTTATAACGAACTCACAGGGGCCACTAATTTTAGTTCGTGATAACCGTAGTTCGTTATAAGCATATGTACAGCATATATACAACAAATGGCCGGGACTAAAAAATAAGTTTGTTATATCGGTAAGTTCGTTATAAGCGTGTTCGTTATAAACGTAGTTTACTGTACATGCATGATTTCGACCTCTCCTCCATCGTGAAACTGACACGCCATGATATAACTGAAATACTCTCCACACGTTCGTGAAATCAGACTCTTTTGGTTCTACCTGTACACTTTCAAGCCTCGATTTGAGAAGAGCTTCTTAAATATCGAGTACCGTGAATAATACACCACCGACATCACAGATTACTCTTAAACTTGTAGTTAAAATCCATATTTTGAGATGTGCGGAATATAATATCTAACTGATGATATGTATTTCATTATTTATTTCATTAAACCGAAATACTGATACTTGATATTTCAAATATCTTAGGTAAGGTCAAACGAGTTATTGATATATGCGAAAGAGGATGGATCTGATATATATGTTCTACTTAATAAAGTCGTTATAATAGTTGATAAAGCGGTGTTCATATAGTAGTGCTCTATACAAACGTGTTAATGACTACGTGTCCATTTAAAAAATAAGAGTCTGCACTGTTGTCAATTCAGTAATGTTTACTCTGGCAATTATAAGATGGATAAACACAAAATGTGTATATGAATTAATAAACCAGATGACAATCTCCCTCAATGGAAATGGTTTCGCGTTTAGTGTGTGTTTGTAATCTTAAACCGATTCTGATATGTTTTGACTTCATGGTCGTGTGGCTATCGATACAATCTGCTTCAGTTTTAGCGCAAGATCGATATTGACATCGATCGAACACAGGCAAAGATAATCTGATTGGAAAGTATTATCGATCAGTCTGTAAGAAGTTTGATGGGCAATCGCAGCAGGCTGTTTTGATTAATATAATCATTTATAACAATGCCTCCTGTATGTATAGAATGTATTTTAGGCGTAGCTGATAAATAATATATATAAAAGGTCGGCCTGTCGTCTTGCAGTATCTCACGGCATATCTGGCTTCAGAGCTATTGATGGGAAGTCGAATATATATATATATATATATATCATATCGCCATTTAACTTTCAGTAGTATTCAAGACCTTCAATCAGTTACAGATTCTTATAAGACAACTTACACGTTCGACTAAAGCAAAGGAAGGTGCAACGTTGCCATGGCAATTATGTATACCCATCGATTCCTTCATTATCTATTGATGTGATGACGTCACGGGCACCTGCAAACAAGATGGCGGACTAAGCTGTCAAACGGTGATATTGTGTACATATACCAACGTGTCCTGGATTCGTGGATGTAAACATGAGGAATAAACGACATTAACCCCCATGTGCAGTCTGTCCATGGCTGCTTCACCTGGGAGTGGAGGTGTGGTGTCAATTACCTGCCCCACCTGTAGCGAGACCGTCCTACAACCGCCCGGGTCCAAGCGGACGATCTGTCCGCGCTGTGGGAATTTCTACGAGCGGGCGTCTGCGGAGAGACCCCCCTCATATCACCGATCGAGAGAGAAGAGGGGGAGGGGCAAGGGGGACCAGGTATGTACACCTGAAACTCCTGTCACATTAACGCTTTTTCAAATGTTGTCATGCAGTGCGTGTTATATCATGACAAATGAGGATTGGTGATAAATATATTTGAGAATAAGCTATGTTCTATGTATTGTATTTATTAGGGACGAGTCCAAATTTACCAGGGTACCCACCCACCCCATAAGCGACAATACCCGGGTACCTTCTGTAGGTCTGTGTCTTAATTGTCAATCACTGTACAGGTAAGGCCAAACCTGTGTCTTAATTATCAACCACGGTACAGGTAAGACTTAACCTGTGTCTTAATTATCAATCACTGTTGAGGTAAGGTCATACCTGTGTTTTAATTATCAATCACAGTACAGGTAAGGTCATACCTGTGTTTTAATTATCAATCACAGTACAGGTAAGGTCATACCTGTGTTTTAATTATCAATCACTGTAAAGGTAAGGTCAAACCAGTGTTTTAATTATCAATCACAGTATAGGTAAGGTCATACCTATATTTTAATTATCAATCACTGTACGGGTAAGACTTAACCTGTGTCTTAATTATCAAACACTGTTGAGGTAAGGTCATACCTGTGTTTTAATTATCAATCACAGTATAGGTAAGACTTAACCTGTGTCTTAATTATCAATCACTGTTAAGGTATGTCATACCTGTGTTTTAATTATCAATCACAGTATAGGTAAGGTCATACCTGTGTCTTAATTATCAACCATGGTACAGGTTAGACTTAACCTGTGTCTTAATTATGAATCACTGTTGAGGTAAGGTCATACCTGTGTTTTAGTTATCAATCACAGTACAGATAAAGTCATACCTGTGTTTTAATTATCAATCACTGTACAGGTAAGGTCAAACCAGTGTTTTAATTATCAATCACAGTACAGGTAAGGTCACACCTGTCAGATAAGGAATGAACATGTATGGTCAAATATGTCTGATCATTATACGAGTCAGGTCATACCTGTGTCTCAATTAACAATCACAGAACAGGTAAGGTCATACCTGTGTCTCAATTATCAATCACAGTACAGGTAAGGTCATACCTGTGTTTTAATTATCAATCACAGTACAGGTAAGGTCATACCTGTGTCTCAATTATCAATCACAGAACAGGTTAAGTCATACCTGTGTCTCAGTTATCAATCACAGTATAGTTACGGTCAAACCTGTGTCTCAGTTATCAATCACTGTACAGGTAAGGTCACACCTGTCTGATAAATGAATGAACATGTATTGTCAAATATGTCTGATCATTATACGAATAAGGTCATACCTGTGTTTTAATTATCAATCACTGTACAGGTAAGGTCAAACCAGTGTTTTAATTATCAATCACAGTACAGGTAAGGTCACACCTGTCAGATAAGGAATGAACATGTATGGTCGAATATGTCTGATCATTATACAAGTCAGGTCATACCTGTGTCTCAATTAACAATCACAAAACAGGTAAGGTCATACCTGTGTCTCAGTTATCAATCACAGTATAGTTACGGTCATACCTGTGTCTCAGTTATCAATCACAGTACAGGTAAGGTCATACATGTGTCTCAATTATCAATCACAGTACAGGTAAGGTCATAATTGCCTGATCCGTGATCGAACAGGTATGGCAACTGAATGCTGTACAGAAACAGCCATACATGTGTCTTAATTATCAATCTATGTACAGGTAAGGTCATATCTGTGCCTGATCAATCACCATACAGGTAGGGTGCTACCTGTGTGTTGATTATCAATCACTTTACAACTAAGGCCATACTTATGTCTGATCAATCCCTATATCGTTAAGGTCAGACATGTCTGATCAATCAATGAGTAGGTATGGTCAGACATGTGTATAATCATTATACAAGTATGGTCATACCTTATCAATAATCCAAAAAGGCGTCATCAAATGTGTGTCTGGCCACCTTACAGTTAAGGCCATACTTGTGTTTGTGAACATTAAAGGAAAGGTCATACTTGTGTTTATGAACACTAAAGGTAAGGTCATACTTGTGTTTGTGAACACTAAAGGTAAGGCCGTACTTTTGTTTGTGAACACTAAATGTAAGGCCATACTTGTGTTTGTGAACACTAAAGGTAAGGCCATACTTGTGTTTGTGAACACTAAATGTAAGGTCATACTTGTGTTTGTGAACACTAAATGTAAGGCCATACTTGTGTTTGTGAACATTAAAGGAAAGGTCATACTTGTGTTTGTGAATACTAAATGTAAGGCCATACTTGTGTTTGTGAACACTAAATGTAAGGCCATTTATGTGTTTGTAAACACTAAAGGTAAGGTCATACTTGTGTTTGTGAACACTAAATGTAAGGCCATACTTGTGTTTGTGAACATTAAGGGAAAGGTCATACTTGTGTTTGTGAACACTAAATGTAAGGCCATACTTGTGTTTATGAACACTAAAGGTAAGGTCATACTTGTGTTTGTGAACACTAAATGTAAGGCCATACTTGTGTTTGTGAACACTAAAGGTAAGGTCATACTTGTGTTTGTGAACACTAAATGTAAGGCCATACTTGTGTTTGTGAACACTAAAGGTAAGGTCATACCTGTATCTTATCAGTCATTGTACAGATAAGGTCAAACCTGTGTGTGGTCAATCACAGTACAGGTAAGGTCATACATGTGTCTCAATTATCAATCACAGTACAGGTAAGGTCATAATTGCCTGATACGTAATCGAACAGGTATGGCAACTGAATGCTGTACAGAAACAGCCATACATGTGTCTTAATTATCAATCGATGTACAGGTAAGGTCATATCTGTGCCTGATCAATCACCATACAGGTAGGGTGCTACCTGTGTGTTGATTATCAATCACTTTACAACTAAGGCCATACTTATGTCTGATCAATCCCTATATCGTTAAGGTAAGACATGTCTGATCAATCAATGAGTAGGTATGGTCAGACATGTGTATAATCATTATACAAGTGTGGTCATACCTTATCAATAATCCAAAAGGCGTCATCAAATGTGTGTCTGGCCACCTTACAGTTAAAGCCATACTTGTGTTTGTGAACATTAAAGGAAAGGTCATACTTGTGTTTGTGAACACTACAGGTAAGGACGTACTTGTGTTTGTGAACACTAAATGTAAGGCCATACTTGTGTTTGTGAACACTAAAGGTAAGGTCATACTTGTGTTTGTGAACACTAAAGGTAAGGCCGTACTTGTGTTTGTGAACACTAAATGTAAGGCCATACTTGTGTTTATGAACACTAAAGGTAAGGTCATACTTGTGTTTGTGAACACTAAATGTAAGGCCATACTTGTGTTTGTGAACACTAAAGGTAAGGTCATACCTGTATCTTATCAGTCATTGTACAGATAAGGTCAAACCTGTGTGTGGTCAATCACAGTACAGGTAAGGTCATACATGTGTCTCAATTATCAATCACAGTACAGGTAAGGTCATAATTGCCTGATACGTAATCGAACAGGTATGGCAACTGAATGCTGTACAGAAACAGCCATACATGTGTCTTAATTATCAATCGATGTACAGGTAAGGTCATATCTGTGCCTGATCAATCACCATACAGGTAGGGTGCTACCTGTGTGTTGATTATCAATCACTTTACAACTAAGGCCATACTTATGTCTGATCAATCCCTATATCGTTAAGGTAAGACATGTCTGATCAATCAATGAGTAGGTATGGTCAGACATGTGTATAATCATTATACAAGTGTGGTCATACCTTATCAATAATCCAAAAGGCGTCATCAAATGTGTGTCTGGCCACCTTACAGTTAAGGCCATACTTGTGTTTGTGAACATTAAAGGAAAGGTCATACTTGTGTTTGTGAACACTACAGGTAAGGACGTACTTGTGTTTGTGAACACTAAATGTAAGGCCATACTTGTGTTTGTGAACACTAAAGGTAAGGTCATACTTGTGTTTGTGAACACTAAAGGTAAGGCCGTACTTGTGTTTGTGAACACTAAATGTAAGGCCATACTTGTGTTTATGAACACTAAAGGTAAGGTCATACTTGTGTTTGTGAACACTAAATGTAAGGCCATACTTGTGTTTGTGAACACTAAAGGTAAGGTCATACCTGTATCTTATCAGTCATTGTACAGATAAGGTCAAACCTGTGTGTGGTCAATCATTGAACAGGTAAGTTAGTGCTTGTGTCTAATCAATCATTGAACAGGTAAAGTCTAATCAATGACAGGTCAGTCATTGTACAGGTAAAGTCGTTAGTTATAACTAATATTATGGCCCTGTAGATGTGACTTTTATTGATAAGGTAAAAAAGTATTTAGAATGTTTAACATGTTTAATGTATGGTTTAGCATTATTGCATTGAAGGCAGTGTTTAGTCTGTCATACAGCCATTGAAACAAATATATCCAATACAGCCCTTGCAAGTCTATAATATTAAATATACCGTATTCAACGTAATAAGCGCCCAGGGTGCTCTCAAAATTACAAATAGGGGGCTCTTATTAGAATATTATTTTGGTGGAAAAAACAGAGTTGAAAAATAAATTTCGTGGTTTATGCTGACAGCCTGAAATGTTTATGTACGACAGATATATTTTTCCAGAATATAATTGCCCATAATTAAGGGTGCATATAACACACGATTGCGTATTATACGCGAATAAATAAGTCTTGTGTACATTGATCAATCGGAAGGGGTGCTAATTGGGATTGTTCACTAGCTAATATGTTAGCAATTATCGCCATGGGCGCTTATTATCTCGAATACGGTAAAATAAACTAATAACAGAATTTGAACAGAATATTGATTATGTTGCAATATGATGCCTTCGGCAATTAGTTTGAGATCCAAGATGAATACCTGCTATGGAACAGATGATTGCAGCAAATATTTTTATCTGTCTCAACACATGATACCTGCTAACAAAGGCCAAGTGTGATGGCCCTGTTTTCTGATTATCAAGTTGTCAGTTTGAGGACATTATTGATGATGTTTAGATGACCAATTACGGGGAATCCGTTGC